AAATATTCTATTATGAGCACAAATTTGCTTTTGCTTTTTTTTTATATAATAAAATGTTTTTAAATTGTATTCTTGTCACATTCCTATAATTTCTATTTACAATCACTTGTTTTTACACTACACATATATATACAATTTAATTATACACATATCAGTTACATATCAGAAATAAATGAAGAAACCAAAAAACGTATTTTGATGATAACCATTTATTTATTTAAATTGTTAGTAATGTTTAAAGGGAAGGCACATTTATATTTCTAATAGCATGGAGGAAACTCAAACACTTGAGTACGTGTCTCAAACCACCAATGACAAATGAACTGGTCAGAAAGCTAAAGGTAGAGTCAATATTTATTTGTCTAATGTGCAACACCTCAACAAAAGTACTTATTGTCAGTTAAAGTTTCAGTTAGCCTTATAATATTAGAGTGGTATGTGCAGTTCATACAAATTATTAAATTGCATTACTAATAGTAGCAGTAAACCGTATTATCATTTAACAGTTTATTATCATTATATTATGAATAATTATACTCCTAATAGAATTGAAAAAGTAGTGAAAAGTATCAAGTAGTTATAAACATAAGAGGAGCATAAGTTGGGTTCTCAGTCTGAGAAATATCCTCCTGAGACCCAGCTATGGAGTTTTTGCCTCTGTAGTGGACATTATATTTTAGTGATTTCTCTGAGACCTCACATGTCACAGTTTTTAGTCTGGATGTCCTGTACAGAGCACATTCGGGGCTTTTCAGAGATACTAAATGATTGGCTGTTTCACCATGGCCACTCCCTCTCCTTGGCTTTTAAAAATGGCTGATATTAATTTAGTGATACAATTGTACATCCTTATGGAAATATGATAATATTTTGTAATTATAATTTAAATCTGATTAATTTTCTAATTGTTTGTCATAAATCAACATCTCAGGAAAATGTTATGGGGTTTCAAATCAAAATATGAGCTTCTGTTATGAAACAGGACATAATTTCATACATGTCCACTGTAGAGGACACCAGGACTAAAAGCATGTTTATTACACATTTTGGGAGACAAAAGAATTGAATAGGAAAACAAATTATATATCAATATTCTTATGAAATATTAGATATTATTATGAAAATCTGGCCAATTACTACTTACCAACTTACACTTCTTTTTTCAACATGCTGTCCCAACAGCACTTTAATATGCAAATTAGATACAGTGTATAGATAACATTGTGCTTAATGGGAAAACCAGTTTATGCAACTTTTACACACATATTGCTTGAAGCAAAATGGTATATCAAATAATTTTGTCATATATTTTATAACATAGTTGAGAACCATCCTTAAACAAAGTTAGTAATAAAAAAAAATCCTGAAACCTAAAAATGTATTGGTGATTTTAAAAAATAAATCCCATTGTTTTTGCCTTTTCATGTCTACTCTTGTCAATTTGTTTTTTTTTTAGAAAAACTGAGTCCTGGTGTCCTCTACAGAGGACATAGCATAACTTATGAATAAAATAAAAATGTTCAAAAATGTTATTTTACCATTTTCTTCTTATGCTCTAAACAATGCAATGACATGAAAAAATACTAAATTCACAAAGCTTTTTATTTCTGGTTCTCAAGAGGATATTGTAGAAATACAAATGATTTAAGAACAAAGTTTGTGGGGTGAAAACGTGTATTTAGGTAACGCAGTTGCAGCCACACGCGCTCCACATCAAAAGATGGCAGTGGTGGAAAAGCACACAAAACTACAGTTTTGAACTACAAGAAGAACGTGTTCGACTGGTATCCCCGCCCCTGGCCGTCACGTGGTCATGAGTTGTCCTGGTAACGCATTGAAAGCAGCTGAGACTGGGCCAATCATATTGCAATGATTTTCGAACCCAGCGAATCACGTTCGAAAGAGCGACGATTTAAACCACGGTGGAGAACCAGGGTTATATCGAGCTCGCTTGAGTATAATCCATCAGTTTGTTCACCGAGTCGCAGCAACAAGCTTCCAAAAAATATAATGGCTCTCCGTGTCACAAGGGTAAGTTGTTTTTAAAGTGTTTTTGGTTGTTGTAGTCATAATGCATTTATTGCATGGCGATAAAGTTCACCCTTTTGTTTCTGTTTTGTTGTTTAATTGGTATAATAATCCCGGAAATATGTCCCTCATGTCGCACGTTAATGTTAGCGTGCTGTTTACGTGTTAATAGTTCACTATATGATATTCAATAACTTCCAATGCAAGTTTTGCGTAAACGTAACACTAAAACCACGGGGTTTCGCTTACGTTGGTGCTCTTGTAACTGGTTTTTACTCGTAGTTTATCCTTCCTATCGTCGTGTAACTAGTACGTGTGAACCCCAGTTTGTTTGGAATTCAAACTTGATCCTGCTCCGTCATTTTATTTTATTTTTAATCGACACCCTAAACCAGCTCTATGCTCTAAACCGTGCGAGACTAATTTGTGAAGTGACCCTCTTTGTAGAACACCCGCCTGGCCAGCAGCGAGAATCAGAGCGCTCTGCCCGGGAAAGCAGCGGTAGCGAACAAGCCCGGACTCAGACCTCGGGCCGCGCTGGGGGAGATTGGCAACAATCCACAGACACGACAGGCTTTGAAGAAGAAGGTAACTGCGTTCTGTCTTCTCCGGGCATTGTTTCAGCAGTCTTTCTCTGTCTGACCCATGTTGTACAACTTCAAACAGGAGGTGAAGGTTGCACCCAAGGTGGAGGTTGTGGCTGAGAAGGCGCCTGTGGTTCAACAGCCCAAAAAGGTGTCTCCTAAAGTTCAGCATGACGTTCAGGTGAGCAGTAGCTGGTCAGTATGGAAAAGTGCAGCCTACTAAACCACACCAAAGGGAAAGCTCTACTGAAGCTTCTGTAATTTCTGCACTCCTCTGTGGCTGATTTGTATAGGAAGGGGCTCTTGGACATGGTTCTAAATGGCATAGTATCTGTTCCCAAATTTCCTGTCCTGTTTTAAATGGATGGGGCTGTAATGTGTGTTTTGGTTGTGTAGATTTTAAACTTGCAATTTATCGCTGTAGCTTAATCCTGGTCGCCCTTGTTAGTAGATGACAGTCTACCATATTTGTCATCACTCCAGTGCAGCAATTTCAATCCGAAAGTAAGCAATGTTGTAACCTATATTAAAATGAACTGCTTGTGCTTTGTGTAATTTTACCTTTTGAGTAGATCTCGTTAGGGGCAACCTGCTCACTGATGTGTAGTTGTAGTATCCACCAGCAGGGGTCAATGCTCCCTGTTTCTGGCCCCGATATGTTCAGATCTTACTATATTCTTGATGTGTCAGTTCTACTTTAATGCACAAGCATTCACTTTTTGGTTTTCCATTGCAGGTTTTATCTGAGCCCTCGTCTCCTGTTCCCATGGAGACCTCTGGCTGTGCTTCGGATGATCTGTGTCAGGCGTTCTCTGATGTTCTGCTTAATATCAAGGATGTGGATGCTGATGATTATGATAATCCTATGCTTTGCAGTGAATATGTCAAGGACATCTATTTGTATCTCCGTCAGCTTGAGGTTTGCGACGAATGTGATTCTGTATCGGTTTGTATTGTTGCATTTGGCAAGATGTTGAGGTTTTTCTGCTTCTCTTATAGACTGAGCAAGCTGTTAGGCCAAAATATCTGGAAGGAACTGAAGTTACAGGAAATATGCGTGCAATTCTTATTGACTGGCTTGTGCAAGTACAAATTAAGTTTAGGCTGCTTCAGGAGACCATGTATACGACTGTCGCAGTAATTGATCGCTTCCTTCAGGTGGGTTCTCTTCCGGTTTTGGTTTCTTGCGTAATGTCTTGGTTTTATTTTTTTTTCAATGGCCTACACTTGTCCTTCAATCAGGATCATCCAGTTCCAAAGAAGCAGCTCCAGCTTGTTGGTGTAACAGCCATGTTCATTGCCTCAAAGTATGAAGAGATGTACCCACCAGAGATTGCAGACTTTGCTTTTGTGACTGACCGTGCCTATACTACTGGTCAGATCCGGGAGATGGAGATGAAAATCCTCAGAGTCCTCGACTTCAGTTTTGGGAGGCCTCTGCCACTACAATTCCTTAGAAGAGCCTCCAAGATTGGAGATGTAAGCTGGTTTTATCTGACTCATTTTAGTAGCACTTCTGTTAAGTTCCATGTTCTCGCAGCATATAAATGCCATTTGTTTTGCAGGTTACTGCAGAGCATCACACACTGGCCAAGTACTTCCTGGAGCTCACCATGGTTGACTATGATATGGTCCACTTTCCTCCCTCCCAGATCGCTAGCGCAGCTTATGCCCTCACTCTGAAGGTCTTCAACTGTGGTGACTGGGTAAGTTCTTGGGCTTTTATTTTTATATATTTTTGTTTGTTTTTTTTTCTCACCTGACCTTCTATTTGATGCTTGCAGACCCCTACTCTTCAACATTATATGGGCTACACTGAAGATTCACTGGTTCCTGCGATGCAGCAAATTGCCAGAAATGTTGTGAGAGTCAATGAGGGGCTTTCAAAGCATCTGGTGAGTGGATTCAGCCTGACCCAAAGCTGGCCTGCTTGGTTCAAGTAGTTGTTTGGTGCCTAGATGTTTTTTGTCAATGAGACCCACTGAAGAGTGTTTGTTTGCTTCTCCAGGCTGTGAAGAACAAGTACTCCAGTCAGAAGCAGATGAGAATTGCTTCAATTTCTCAGCTTAAGTCATCCTTGATCAAGGACCTGGCCAAGCAGATCTCGTAGTGTGGGATTGTTAAAGACTTAAGCACTGTGTGCTGCCTTGTAAAGAGAAACTAACTTATGCATGCTTTTTACTGTTGCTACTTTTATTGTTTTTTTTGTTTTTTACAGATTTTTATCTGCACTGCCATGTACTGAGTTAAGGTGATTGATGGTTCAAAGTGTTAATGCAACCTTGTACATTTTGTTTTGAAATAAACATTTTAAGGCTCAAGCAGTGCCTTTTTCTTTTTTTTTTTTTTCTGCATTTGTGAAAAGTTCTTCAAACCAAGTAGTGATTTATGGAGTCAATAGTTCTAAACCAAGATTAGACTACTTAAGAATAGAAGCAATTTGTTTTTTTTTTCTCTTCCTCCCTTCCCCAAGATCTTTTTGTCCTGCAAAATTATAACTATCAAGGTTTTGAGTTTTTTTTTTTTTTTTTTTTTTTCTTCTGCTTTCTTGTAGAATGAGCAAGCTGTTAAGCCAAAATATCTTGAAGGAAAGGAGGTTACAGGAAATATGCGTGCTATTCTTATTGACTGGCTTGTACAAGTCCAAATTAAGTTCAGGCTGCTTCAGGAGACCATGTACATGACCGTTGCGATTATTGATCGCTTTCTTCAGGTGAGTCCTCCTTTCCATTTTGGTTCACTGTGTAATGTTGTCTTTAGCACTTTTTCAATGGTCTCCACTTGTCCCTCAATCAGGAGCATCCAGTTCCTAAGAAGCAGCTCCAGCTTGTTGGTGTAACAGCCATGTTCATTGCCTCAAAGTATGAAGAGATGTACCCACCAGAGATTGCAGACTTTGCTTTTGTGACTGACCGTGCCTATACTACTGGTCAGATCCGGGAGATGGAGATGAAAATCCTCAGAGTCCTCGACTTCAGTTTTGGGAGGCCTCTGCCACTACAATTCCTTAGAAGAGCCTCCAAGATTGGAGATGTAAGCTGGTTTTATCTGCCTCATTTTAGTAGCACTTCTGTTAAGTTGCATGTTCTCGCAGCATATAAATGCCATTTGTTTTGCAGGTTACTGCAGAGCATCACACACTGGCCAAGTACTTCCTGGAGCTCACCATGGTTGACTATGAAATGGTCCACTTTCCTCCCTCCCAGATCGCTAGCGCAGCTTATGCCCTCACTCTGAAGGTCTTCAACTGTGGTGACTGGGTAAGTTCTTGGGCTTTTATTTTTATATTTATTTTTCTCTCACCTGACCACTTCTATTTGATGCTTGCAGACCCCTACTCTTCAACATTATATGGGCTACACTGAAGATTCACTGGTTCCTGCGATGCAGCAAATTGCCAGAAATGTTGAGAGAGTCAATGAGGGGCTTGCAAAGCAGTTTTGTCAATGAGACCCACTGAAGAGTTTTGTTTGCTTCTCCAGGCTGTGAAGAACAAGTACTCCAGTCAGAAGCAGATGAGAATTGCTTCAATTTCTCAGCTTAAGTCATCCTTGATCAAGGACCTGGCCAAGCAGATCTCGTAGTGTGGGATTGTTAAAGACTTAAGCACCGTGTGCTGCCTTGTAAAGAGAAACTAACTTATGCATGCTTTTTACTGTTGCTACTTTTATTGTTTTTTTTGTTTTTTACAGATTTTTATCTGCACTGCCATGTACTGAGTTAAGGTGATTGATGGTTCAAAGTGTTAATGCAACCTTGTACATTTTGTTTTGAAATAAACATTTTAAGGCTCAAGCAGTGCCTTTTTCTTTTTTTTTTTTTTCTGCATTTGTGAAAAGTTCTTCAAACCAAGTAGTGATTTATGGAGTCAATAGTTCTAAACCAAGATTAGACTACTTAAGAATAGAAGCAATTTGTTTTTTTTTTCTCTTCCTCCCTTCCCCAAGATCTTTTTGTCCTGCAAAATAACTATCCTGTTCGATCGACTGCGTCTTAGCTGAGGTTTTGATTGCCATCTCACTTGCCCTTTATGTGACCCATTTTCCCCCATATAAATGAATGGTGATTTTTTGTTGACTTGACTTAGTCATCAGTTTCATTTGGCTAGTACCAGACAAATGTCTAATGCAAGTTTGTATTTTCCTATCATCCACATTTCATAATTTTCTCTTTAGCTTTTATTTTTACGTAAGTCCCCTTCATTTTATCAGATTTCAAATTTTAATTTCTTCACTGATGCAATTTTTTTTTTTTTTTTTACCACTTTTTCTGTTTTGGTGCTTTGCTATATTGCATAGTCTACCAGTGTTTGCCTTAACTTCAAATTTTTTTTTTTGCATCAAATTTTAGAAATGGTTTACTAGGAATAACCAGTATGCGTGTCTCTTGCTACACACATTGAAACTCCTTCTTGGAGTTTTTATATATATATATAGTCCTTTCCATTGTTTCAGTTGACTCTTGTTGGGGCCATGCTTCATGCTTCCTTTCAATTAGCCAAATCCTGCAGCTTGACGCACTTTTTTTTTTTAACATTGATTTTATTTTTATTTTTGCTTGATCTGCAAAGCAATCCCATTTATTGAACTAATTTGATCTGTTTCACAAAGCCACACTGTTCAGCTTAAAATTAAGTAATATCTGTGATTTCATCATTTGCTACTGAATTAATAAAACAAGTAAATACATAAAGCAAGCTGGCTGTACGTGATTCCATTAACTTTTCCATAACATGCCGTTTCTGGCCTTGCATCTTGCGTTTTAGATATTTAGACTTGCCAATGAGTAATGCAGCAATACAATTTATTCTAAGAAGTGAAGTGCAAAAATGTCAAAAATCGTTCAAGTACAGTTTTCTTTTACGTTAATGTAATTAACAGGATTCAATTGCTCACGGAAAAGTAGTAAAAATGCTTCTATTTTGCATTATTTTCTAATTTAACATACACAAGTTTCATTACAAATTCTAAGCATAATTTAAGTGAAAAATATAACTGAACATTCTACATGAATTGCTGAAGATTTAACAATTCAAATGTTTGAGATAGATAAGATTTAAAAATGTTTTAAAATAACGAAAAATTTCAAATATCGTTCAAGTACAGTTTTCTTTTACGTTAATGTAATTAACAGGATTCAATTAATTGCTCACGGAAAAGTGTTTCTTGACAATTTCAAGGTACTCGGCAAGTACAAATTGTTTTACAAAGTAAACGTTTTTAACAGCTGAAGGAGGCGCTTCGGTGAAATGTAGTGCACCTACTGGCCTGTAGGTGGTGACCGTTCACTTTTAATCATGTGAGATGCGTTTCGCAGACGTAAACAAAGGGGTTTTAATATTTTATACATGACTGAGTGAACACGTTTATATCACTGTTACTTTTTAAAGTTTATTGCCTATAGGTCGTTCTTATGCTCAGGTCTCCTGTTTTTACTGTTTATTTCTATTGTTTAAAAAACACAATTGTATGATTTAACTCACACATTGTGACAACGTCGATCGCCCCTCTCACTGTTGTTTGGTAGACCTATATACATTCATGAATGGACAGACCCCAAAGACACATATCATTTTCATCAGAAGCCCTAAGAAGCTTACTATGCTATGAAGCCATTTCATCCAAGACCTTAAAAGAACCTCACAGAGAATATTAATTTATGGCAGGTCTCTGGGTTGGTTGCATTTCCAACAGCTTAACCATCATTTACAGCTCTTCTCAGTTGCTTTAGCTCAATTCTTCAATTAGCATTTTGTCCCTTAAAACGTTCAATTTAGATCTCTGAACATCGAGCGTGTTATTCACTTCAGATTTGAACGTCATATTTAAGTAAATTGCATTTGTTCAGTAACAATTAATGTGGCTTGCTAATCAAAACTGATGAGCTGATTCCTGTTGAAATTGTCATGCTCTTCACAACTTCTAAACTTTCTTTTATTGTGTGAGCCATTGCATGCAAAATAATCCATTCAACTGTCAAAATCTGTCAGATGCAAGAAAGAAAGTTTTTTTTACATACATTGCTACAAAAATAAATGTACTGTATACATACAAATGTGCATATTCTTTTTCTGTGTACAACGGTATTGACGTTTCCTAGTAAACGTTTCACTAAATTGACTTAAATCTAAAAAGCGCAGTGATACACAATAGCATTAAGCTAAAGAAAACTATCGGTTAGACTTTGAACATAGCCTGTAGGAGAGACTGGTGCTATAGTTTCCAGCAACAAAAATGTAAAATGTGACCAAATAAATCAAACCATTAATTTGGCCAAAATATATTGTAATAAATCAGTTGTATTAAAAACATTACAAGCTTGATCTGACCTTACATTTATGAAAAATACCCTTGTTCCAAAAACTTTCAAGTAAAATCTGCCACCTTTTTATACTTGGATTTTTTTGGCTCAAAACCACATTATTCATTACCATATTACTTGTGGCTGTATGGCAGCTTGTCAAAATCTCTCCTATTCGGGCACTAGGATGTGCACACAGCTGCTGCTTCCCATATTTACTATGAAGGTTTCATCCTTTAAGAGGGAAGGACTTATCTCCTTTGCTCCACCCTTAGTGGTTGTGCTCCTCAGGGACCAGTGATAATGAGTCAGTTTCTCTGGCAGGCTGCGCTGGTAAATGCAGGTCCGGGCTGAGAACTCATACTTGCGCGCTGAGGTCATGACTGGCCAGTGAGATCAGTTTACAAGACAGATTCCTCGTGAAAAGAAGAGCCATAGGGCTGCAGTTCAACAATTCAGCTCAAGCTCTAAAATGGATGTTTTATTGTACACCATTGTTTGTCTGCATTACATTACCACAAACATTCCCAAAGCAAAATGATCATATGAAGGAAATTCACACAAGCACTCTACTTTACAAATTGATTTGGCCCTGAAATTAGTTCTTTATAAATGTTAATGCCCAATACAGACTCGTTAAAACATATCCAACTTTTTATAAAACAATGAATGGTAATTTTGCGACATGATATCGACAAGTACGACATGTTTCTTTCTTGTTGGTCCTTGATCCACAAATTTAGCCAAGACATACAGTAGTTCTAACCATAACAGTTCTTAACCCTTGGCATGGTAAATCAAGGATATAACCTAGCAAATCCATAAAACTGATATTCTTTGTCATACATGGCCTGGCAGTTAGTGTGCATGCTTACTGATGATGGGCCATTGAATTATTAAAGCAATAAAGCCCAAAGGCATGGGTTACAGTGAATTTAGAACAGCTAAGAGGAGTTATTTGGCTTGATGCGGAGTCCATAGCTGTTCTAAATTCATTGTAAACCACGGCTTTACAGGGCTTATTGCTTTTATAAAAACAGTTCATCCACAATTTAAAAAAATATTTATTTAATTCATAAAATGTACACACAGCAATAAAAAATGTAATGATATTTTAACATAAAAAAAATTGTAACTTCTGAAGCAAGTAACAGAGGCTTGAGCCAGTAATATGCAGACTAATGCAGTGCATAAAAGGTAAATATTTTTATCCTATTGTTAGTCATATTTATTTGCTTAGTCAGCGTCTTTGTTGGTTTTGGTTGATTTGCTGTTGTAAGGACTCTGATGTAACTGAAACAATTTGTTGAAGCAATGCGGTCGACAGACCTGAAAGTACTTCATAGTTGTGCGTTTACTGAAAAATAATTACACACCCTGGAACTTTTGTCAACCAATCAGAATCAAGCATTCAAAAGCCCCATGGCATAAATATTATATATGTTAAAGGTGGGGTAAGCGATTTCTGGTAGCCAATGTTGACATTTGAAATCACCAAAACAAACACGCCCCAACCCCAAAAGGGTCTCGCCCCTCTTTTGATAACTCCGCCCCACACATACATACGCAACCCAGGCAACGATTAGTTCTGTGAAACAAAGCAAAACCAATGTTACACCGTGTCTACACCGCGACAAAATACTATGGAACGCATTATAATCAGTGATGCTGTCTACACCATAGATATATATATATACACATCTCTATGGTCTACACTGGATGCGGCACGGCACGACAAATCCCCGACAGAAAACTGCTGCTGCGTTCTATTCATGACGTATTGACACAAATTTGAAATGATTTTCAACTGTCGCTTTGTCGCATCCAGTGTACTAGACAGACTTTAGCTGTTGCGGCGCAGACACGGTGTTACTCACCTATCGAGAAGAAACAAAGCAACCTCGGCGTCCGATCGCAGGCCTTCCTCTCCTTGAGTTCTCTCCAGCGCTGGAAAGCTGATCCGATATTTACACGGGTCCATACTTCTTGCCTTATTGTAAGCTTTCTTTTGTTCCGCAGACGTTTTCCTCTTTTGTTTTTTATCCGCCATCTCTATCTTTCTGTTGCTCGGCTCGGCTAATGTCCGCCCTGTGCACTGAACTCTCTCTCCTCCACATCCTGAGTAGACACGCCCCTTACTGCTGATTGGCTACAAGTTTGATTTGCTAGTCAGCCCGAATCAGTTTTCTAAAGCGTTTTTGAAAAATCGCTTACCCCACCTTTAACTAATATAATTTTTCATACTCAAGACCCCCAAATTTAGTGATACATGTCTGTTGCAATGTTTAATATGAAAATAAATAGGATTTGGTTACATTTTAGCGTGACAGGTTACATGGTTATGATAATAACACTTTACCCGAGAACAATGGCATGTGAAGTTCTCCAAGTTCTTTTCATTGTGTTTATTTAAGCCCACTTCATGTAGCACCTCTGAAAATTTGGAATCTCACATAAAATGTCTAAATAATCTATATGAAATACACTTTTCAATG